CACTGGGCCAAGGAATGTCCGAATAGTGACAAGCCACCTCAGACACCATCTGTAAGTGCAGGAAGACAGGCCCCTCGGCCTGAGGCCCTGACTTCCTTACAAATGTTAACTCAGGCCTGAAGCTGCTTGCTCTAGTCAGCCTCACCTCAAGAGGTCACCATTACTGGACTGAAGGCTAGGGTACATATGGATGTGGCGTGTAGGACAGTGACTTTCCTATTAGACACTGGGGCCACCTATTCTGTCCTTACTTCCGTCTCTGGCCCCTTCTCCTCACAGTCCTGCACCGTCCTGGGGGTAGCAGGAAAGCCTACAACCAGGACTTTCTCTTTACTTAAAATAGACAAATTCACAGAGACATAAGTAACAACTAAGCTGAGCTGTCCTCCCTCAGGAATTCGGGGACAGCCCTCATTTATTTAGACAAGCATTAGCAGAAGACTTAAGAGATTGGCTACCTGAGAGGGTAACCTAGTAATCCAATATGTAAATAACCTACTTATTCCCCCACAGAGGGACTGGGCGGTAAACATACACTACAAACCCTGAATTGCCTTACGCCATTAATCTAGGACAGGTACAAAAAAGCATTATAGAAGCACAGAAACAAACTTAAGGCTACCAACACAAACAAGTTAAACCAGGGGAGGTAGTCTATTTAAAAGTTTAAAAAGAGAGTTCCCATAGTTTTCAACTACAGTCCTTGTGGAAAGGACCCCTCACTGTTCTTATGTCTTCCCCAACAGCCATCAAGGTCCCTGACATTGCCAGCTGGATACATCACTCCAGGTCAAACCCTGGAAGGAGCCAACTCCTTCAGGACTGCCTAAACAATAGGACGATACCACACAGAACTACTTTACTAGCAGATAAAACATAATATTTGGGGTAAAAAATTGTAACCATAACTTAACACTTCAATGAAGCTACATTTTCTCAAGGCTGCAGCCAGCCCTCTACTTTCTTAGAGTGTGTAAGTAAAGCCCTGTGTTTTTACCCTTTATCTAGCCTTTTTTACAGCTTAGAGAAGTCTATTCTGGGAGAGAAAGGACTGCTTGGCACCAGCCGTGAAAATCTACAGGCGCTGGCAGTAAATCTACAAATTCCTGTTTGAAGAGATAACACTGAGACAGGAGAGGAAGTCCCCTCCCTTTCCTGTGCTCCCACCTTAGGAGAAGCAGCACTTTGCATTCCCCTCCCCCTGATCTCTTTGTTCTGCTTTCCCTCTACATCTTTATAAAAGTTCCATGTGCACTGAAATTTTGAGATGGTCTTTTGAGGACAAGAAAAGTCCCTCATCTCCCAAATTGCTGGCGATTGGAATAAACTCTTTTCCTTCACCTTGGCACCTGTCTTGAGTTTGACTTTTGTAGCCACAGGCAGTCCGGACCTGGGTACAGGTCATTTTCCCAGTTTCAATATGATGTCTGGTGTCATACTTCCTTTTACTCAGCAAAGTGTCTGGTACATGATGGGAAGGAACTTCAGATTTTGTGAAGATATATGCCTCTCCCCTCAGAGGGTGACTGACTTTTGACTTGTCCATGGTCACAGAGCTGGTTAGTGGTAACCAGAATTTAGATCTCCTGATTTAACTCACCTGGGCTTTCTACTACACCAGTCATTCATCATCCATTCACTCATTAAATATATTTTTATGGAGGATAAATTAAGTGCAAAGCATTTTGGTAGGTGCTGTGGGTGATTCTGGATTATCAGGAACAGATCGCTCCCTTGTGGGATGATAAGACTTAACTGTGAGTGTACAGAGATTGGAACAAAAAGGTGTTAATAAATTTATGTGACTTGGTGAGGGTCAGTGGAGACTTGGTGACAATTTGGCTGTACTCCAAATGGCAGAAAGGATTTATACATAGCCATAGAGTTTATAGTAGGCAGTCCAGGGTTGAACAGTAGGTGAGCGAAGGCACTTACCTAGGCCTAATTAAATCCTAGGAACATTTAATCATTTCCTAAAAAGGGCCATCTCTCACCCTGACTCTAGCACACCTTTGTTGTTCTTGTTAGAAGGTTTATCTTGAACACAGTTCATGTTTACTTCACCGGAGGCCTTGACTAACTCTCCGTGGGCCGTGAAAGACTGGTTCCTGTTTCCATGGTTCCTTGTTCACTCTCTAAGGGCACTTACAACACACCTCTCTTTGTTTTGTTTCTTTGCCCCAGTTGTGTATTGGTTTGTTATAATTTCAAATGAACTTGTTTGTGACTTAAGTTGCTTTGAACCAAAGGTAAAATCATTTAAATTAAGGAAGCTGTGGCAGGATGCTGTGACAACTGTTGACTGGCACCGCTGGGGCCTTCTGTAAGGACAGGTGGAGGAGAGACAATCATGTGATATTATACATGCATATAGGGGTGTGTTTTAAAATCAATATAAATTTATCATCTTACAATTCTAAAGGTTTAGAAGTCCAAAATGGGCCTCATTGGGCTAAAATCAAGGTGTCAAGAGAGATGCATTCTTCTGGAGATTCTATGGAGCTTTTCCAACTTATAGAGGCCTCTTAACATTTCTTGGCTCCTGGCCCTCATCCTGTGATTTCAAAGACAGCATTGTCAGGCCGAATTCATCTCTCTGGTTCTCACTCTTCTGACTCCTTCTTCCACTTGTAAGGACCCTTATGATTACACTGGGCCACTCATACTCCAAATGGGATGGTTAAACTTTAAATATCAAGGATTTATGAGGACTTACTGAGAGTGTTTGCTCTGGGCAAAGTTAGCCTTTGTTGATCTAACTAAAAAGCTCTCCAAAGATCTTGGGGGCACTTGCTCCAGGCTGTGGTCAGGCTGCCCTTGGTTGGCAGTAGCAGTGGTGTTACACCACACAGCAGTGTCAGAAGAGACAGGACATCTGTTCCTGCCTTGGAGAGTCTATTCTTTGAATGTGATGGTGCACATCATATCATATATAGATCCCTAGAATAATAACCTTAGAAACAGCCCACCTTGCCTTCCAACACGGGTGCCATACCCTGCTAGCTATTTTCTCCAGCATCAAGAGGGACCTAAGCTGGCAGCTGATACCAAGCTTTTAGTTGGAAGGCCTGATTCAATGGAGAACAAACATATAGAATGTTATATTGCACTAAATTTGGACTTTAATCTCCCCTTTGCCGGGAACTGTAATTAATCTATCATTGGTTTACAATATTTTTTATCAATTTACTAAGAGACATCCTACATGTTATTGGCTTGTGAAATATTTTATAATTCCCACAGTGAACCTGTGTTAAATAAATACCTGGAAAAGACAATCTGAATCTCTGAGCATGATTTGCACCAAACAAAATACCCCCATGCCCTCTTCCCCGCATTTTTAATTTTCAGAGAATTGGGACTAGGTGCATCACTGTATCTTCAGCCTGAGCACAGTGACAAGTCCTAGCTGACAGTTTTGCATGAAAGGAAGAACATCTCACCTACTGGTTCTTCCACATTATGGTTGAAAGTCACGTCTGCCAGCCACTCCTACCACCTACACACACTAGGTGCACAACAGGAAAATTGTATCTGACTCATCTCTATAACCCCTCAGCTGGCAGGTAGTAAGTGCTCAGTAAGTGCTTGTGGAATAACTGGAAACACTTGGACTTTAGGTGGGAGATCTCCAGGCAGGGATTTCCTCAGAATGGACTCTGCTTTTCCCAGATAAGACCTCTGCAGCTGGGCTTGTGGAGAGCAGGACCAATAAAATGGCATTGGTCCAGTCAAGATAGCATAAAGTATATAAAGCAAAATGGAGTCCCTCATGCCACCAAAATGGCTGTCAGCCCGCCATCACACTTTTGTTCAAGAGGGAAACTACCTAAGTCAGAGGAGACACATCTAGCAAGGAGCCACACTTAAGATACCTGTCCATGTGGTCAGCACAGACGCATCTGGCAAGGAGACACACCTAAGATGTGTACCTGTGATGGGAAGAGCCCTACCTGCAGAGCAGGACCACCCATAGACAGGCTCCTGAGGAAATACCACACTCTCCCTCGGGTGTGCCAAGATATCTATCCAAAAAGACCCAGGAGGGTGGAGGACATCGCTTTCAAGGTGTAAATGAGGCAGGCTCCAGATCACTGCTGAAACAGCCAAACTCCACACACCAGGCTGCTGCTCCACGCCACGCTGACCTCCCTTGGTATCGGCTGCCGGGAGGCGCTGCCCTGCTGGACTGAGGACTTCGCCTGCCCTGCTGCCCACCTGGCTCCGGAGAGCCTTCCTTGCAAGATGCTGACAACTCCCGTGCCCACCATGCTGTTACCCAGACCTGCGAAACAGAGACTCTGGGATTCGGGTTCGTTTATCCCCCATTGATTGCTGCGCGTGTGTGATATCTCTTAGGTTGTTAGCGTGAGAGTAGGATATTGATGTATGTTGACGTTCTACTTTGAGTGAACCTGCATTCAGTAAAAGCTGAGACAAGAGCATAGTTACTGTGAGTGACTCTTACCAATTCCTTCACGTCAGGCTGCTCTGCCAGCAGCTGGCCAAGCAGCTGCCTCGATGACTTTTGGCAAAGGCTATATTGCCCACCTACCCTCATGACGGGGCCACGGGGAATAACAGACTGACCTGGGACCCAGGGCATAGACCGTCCTTCTCCAGCGCCAGCCAGTGCCTTCCTAACAACCCACCAAGCAGCCAACCCGGGCCCCACGCCTCCACTCCACATCACGCAACATCGCCCTAGCGCCTCTCAGGGGGTCACCGCGAGGGCTGCCCCGCCCGCGATTGGCCAAACGCGCCATAGCGCCACCTCGGCCTACCTTGTGTGCGTGCCCTCATTGGTCCGCGGCAAAGGTAGGCGGTGCCTGTTCCGAAGGCACGCAGGGCGGGGCAGGCTTTCTCCCTGGAGCCCCGCCCCCTGGCCCTCCCGAGTTTAGATCACCATTGGCTGAAGCCCACCGGCGGCGTGAGAGCGGAGGGCCTTCGGCGGTTGCTCTGGTTATTGCTCGAGCGCCCCGCGCGGGATGCTGGTGAGTAGGCGGCAGGGAGCCTCCGCCGCCGTCCCCCTCCCAGGGAAGCTATCTGGAGACTATCTGGGAAAACGAAGTCGGGGACTGGGAGGTTAAGCGGCGGGTGAGTCGGGAGCCGCTGCGGAGGAGAACGTGTCGAGGTAACGGCTGCGCTTCTCTCTCCGGGTCCCGGCAGGTTCCCCTAGACAGTGGGCTGCGCGGGTGGGGAGACGAGCCCGACTCCGCGCGTGCCGGCCATCGCTGTCGGAAAAGGTGGCCGCATTTTTCGCTTAACCAAGATGTTTTTTCCATTTTTTTCCCTCCCCCATCTTTTTCTGAAAGGGTACCTGCTGCTGTTGAGAGAGGACAGTTTTACATCACGACGAATCAATATGAGAATTAAAAACACTGGCAACAACCCCCACGAAAAGCCATCTTAAAAAAAAAATAAATGGACTACTCGAAAAAGGAGAGGATCTATATCGGGAGCTGTTAGAGCAGGACATTTTGAAATACTGCTTTCTGAGCCCTACCTATCCCCTTTCAAATGCTTTTATCGTAACTTTATGATTTTCGTAGCTAGTTTAAGTCTGATTTGACTTGTGATCCGTGACGGTGTTAACTGGAATTGGGCCGGTTCCCGATGCTCCTTTTGGGAACACATTTTGGGGAGAATCTCTGATCATCAAAACCCTACAAGGGGAAAAAAAAAAAAAAAAAAAAAGGAACTCAGCGTCGACCGGTGCCACCAAAGGGCCTTTGCACCATGTGGACCTTTCTTGGCCTTGCCACTTTCACATATTTTTATAAGAAATGCGGGGACGTCATCACTTTGGCCAACAAGGAGGTCCTGCTGTGTGTGCTGGTGTTCCTGTCGCTGGGCCTGGTGCTGTCCTACCGCTGCCGCTCCCGAAGCTGGGCCCTCCCGAGGCGCGCGCCCAGCGGGCCCCAGCTCGCCATCCTCTCGGGTGTCCTGTCCGCCTTGCCTTTCATTGGCTTCTTCTGGGCCAATCCCCCCGCTGGGACCGAAAATAAAGAGCAGCTCGGGTCTAGGACGGTAGGTTGAATTCACACTGGTCCAAGGAATGAGAGAGTCTTTATTTTAAACATTAGGATTGGGGCTGCTCACTTGTGAATTTTCTGCTTTAAGGGGAAAAGGGCAGCAGCTCAGATTTTCAGGTACGTATTGCCATTTAATTCTCTCCCACCCCTCATCCCCAAGAAAGCTTTTGACTCTTCCTTGGCACTCTTACTAAAGATTTGAAAACATTTGTTTCATTTAGCATAGGTTGAGCGAAGGATAGAGGAAATTGATATGATTATGAAAGGCGAAAAAAATATTAAGAGTTTCATTTTGAAGGAGGGCAGAATCACTTTCTCTGGTGGAAAAAAAAATATTTTATTTACATGCTTGGGTAAGGATGGCATATATACCTGGGAAGAAGGAAACCTGCTGCAGGTAAGCCCTCCACTGTCCAGATGTGACAGCTGTCTGGGGAAAGTGACAACAATTTGAAAGAGTGACAGGGTGAAAACGCTCAGGATTTTACAGCCATGGGCCAAATGCCCTACTCTTCCCACATTGTGGAGCCATGAGTAAATGAATGCAGCGATGTCCTCTATCCTCTATCTGAAATGCATTCATATCTGCGAATCCACATACCCCCCGCAAAAAAAGAAAGAAAAAAAAACTATCAATTACAACATTGAATTGTTCATTTAAAAAAAAAACAAAAACAAAACAACCCCAAACCAATCGCTGTTACTCTCAGTGGACATAAATGTCTCAAAACAGGACTTTTCATCTTCTTATGTTCAAAGTTAAAGTTTTTACTGTCAACCCAATAAGTTAACAGTAAGTAAGTGAGCAATGTCCACAGCGTGGTCCTGTTACCAGATCAAAGACTGGGACTTCCCATACCTGTGAGGTTATGATCCTTGCAAGGCAGCAGAGGATGGTGGTGGGAGATGAGCGAGGAGAGGTGGCTGAGGCCAGACGTTTTAGGGCCTATGGTCCATGGATGTTTGGACTCTTCCAAGAGCACTGGAAGATTTTAAGCATGGGAGTAACAATATTCGATTTTACTTTAAAAAAAGAACATTCCAATTGCTGTGTGAAGAATAGATTGTAGGGAGACAAGACTGGAAGCAAGGATATTGGATCAGAGATTCCACTGTAGGCCAAGTGAGGGTTGACAGTGACTTGGAGTTGTGGTGAGTGGCCTACAAAATCAGAGTTCTGGATCTGCATTATTTTGCTATATTTACAGAGCAGATGAGCAAGACTTACAGAAGAGGGGGACTTGGTTTAGAAGTTATGTTCCACTACTTTTGGATGTAAGACCTTTGGCAAAGGACTCATTCTCTCTTCTGTTACATGGCGACGACAGCAGCCTTACTGATGTCATGCTTGGTCACCAATTGTCTGATAAGTGGTAGCTATTAATGTTAGTCTCAAGGTAGGATACACCTGTTAGGAGCCTTCTGAGGGGTGCTAAGTTCAGTGGTATGGTACTTGTGGGCTGGAGGAATGGGAAAGGGGGGACGGTGAAAATTGGATTCTCAGTTTGAAATGTTTGATGTTGTTGATTTGAGATAGCTTCTCTTGGGACCCGTGAGCAAGCACTCGTCCGGATGGCGGGAATGACGTCACATTGTGCTGCAGCAGCAATCAATATTGGTTAGCAGTAGTCAATATTGGTTCCACTTCACGAATGCGCCAGGCTCTCTGCTTTGTTTCAAGTACTGTGTTCCCAATTAGCGCTTCCTCTCCTGACCGGGTTCTCACTTCTCCAGAGTTCCCATTCCACGATAGTGTGTGTATGTTTGACAGGGAAAACCTCAGAAGAAAAACTAACAAATAATGGTTAAGGTGACAAAAAGGGGGGTGTCTTTCTCGCAGAACAATAATTTAAATGCAGTCAGTTATTTTGGCCATTAAGAAATGCTAGTCAGATGGGAAAAGTAAGCTATTGTCTTCTCTTGGTAAAGGACAAAACGGTAATTTCTCTAAGAAAAATTATGAAAAATGAAATAAACAAGGCCCCAGTCGTTATGGAAATATAGGAAGATGAGGTGAATGTTACAATCACAGAATCAAAGTTCTAAAGGATTATAGGGGTTGTCTCCCTTTTCGCCTGAGGTCTGTCTCTTTTATTAAAACCACTTCAAAATGACATTTAGTTGTGTCTTAATCCTTAAGGTCAGAGAACTCAAGGAAGATGGTTTCTTGAAATCCTCTATCTGAAATATATTCATATTTGTGAATCCACATATCCCCCCCAAAAAAAGAAAAAAAGAAAAATTACTGATTACAGTATTGAATTGTTCATTAAAAAGCCCCAAACCAATTACTGTTATTCTTAGTGGGTATAAATCTCTCAAAACAGGACTTTTTCATTTTCTTAGGTTCAAAGTAAAAGTTTTTACTGTCAACCCAGTTAGTAATATGTTCAAATGTTTGTCCTTATTCGTAAATTAGAGGGCCAACTTGACATCATTGACTAGATTCTCTTAGAGTAACAGAATGTAGAAAAAAAGTAGAGTTAAAATAAATATATTCTTACATGTTATATATAGATTAAAACTGAATAGGTCGCATTCCAACCGATAGTAAGTTATTTTCTTCTTTTTGGAGTTTCGTAGAGTTAATTCTCAGTACATGAGTAGCCAGGATTTTACAGTTTGTTACATAAAAGTGATTTTAGATTAAGGTAGACTTTTCAGGTGACAATCCAGAAGGAGAAAATAAAGATGAATAGTGGAAGTATATAAAAGGTGCTAAATAGTTGCGGCATGAAGTCAAACTGGAAGTTTTATGTGATTTGCATTCGGTAGATGCTCAGTATATGCTTGAAGAATTGAGTAATGATAGAATTTTCCATATAACAAGTCTTTGAAGGCTGTTACAAACATTTTTTTAATATTCGGCCCAGCGTGAATTTCTAAATATGTCTGTATCACAGCATTTTCTAAGTACCATATTTGGAAAGGAATATACACTTCATTTTATTGGGTTATTATACATTTTTACTTCTCCAACATTTTGATGATGTTAGGTTTCATATATGATAAGGATTTAAAATAATTAACGGTTCATTTGGTTTGGTAATGTTTAGGATGTAGCTTTTGCTCAAGATGCAAAAGTCCAGTGTGTATGTATGTAGTGGTATGATTTAAGGTTAACAAGTATGAATACATAATTTTTTTTTTTTAACAGTGCAAAAAACAAACCAGCATTTCAGAAAGCACCTTAATAGGAACAGCTGCCTCTACGACAATATCTTCTCAAAATGATCCAGAAGTGATCATTGTGGGATCTGGTGTACTTGGCTCTGCTTTGGCAGCAGTGCTTTCCAGAGATGGAAGAAAGGTGACAGTTATTGAGAGAGATTTACAAGAGCCTGACAGGATACTTGGAGAATTTTTGCAGCCAGGTGGTTACCATGCCCTTAAAGATCTTGGTCTTGGAGGTAGGTTCATATTGGTTTTTAGGAGTTATGTGCTATAAGCAAGCACTCTTTACTTTAGACTCTCCTTTTTACATTGGTAAAAAGGTATTCCATTTTATTTTCATTTATAAAAGTTACTCTACTCACTTTAAGTATAATTAAAAAGCATATCAGAAAACTAACTTATCTTGATCTTTGTGTAGTTGTGTGATGATATTCTTTTCTTTCATCAGAAATGAAATTATTTTTTGCCCTGACTGGTATGGCTCAGTGGATTGAATGCTGGCCTGCAAACTGAAAGTTCGCCGGTTCAATTCCTGGTCAGGGCACATGCCTGGGTTGTGGGCCAGGTCCCCAGTTGGCGATGTGTGAGAGGCAACCGATAAATATTTATCTCACACATCCATGTTTTTCTCCCTCTCTTTCTCCCTCCCTTACACTCTCTCTAAAAATAAGTAAATAAAAATAAAATTTAAAAGAAGATATGAAATTAATGTGCCCTGTCTTAATGTATTTTAGTGTACTTAAACATATAGTATGTGACAATATCTTTTTCACTTAACATATGCATATTTTTACTACTGTGAACCATTCTTTCTCACTGTAATTGTAAGCCTATGCATAAAATTTTCTAAACTGATACTTCATAATGTACCTTACCTTTCTAACTTACATTAACACTTAGGTTATTATCAGTTTTTCTTTATTAGAGATAACACTGTAGAGAACGTATTCTTGTGTATAACTTTAAAAGTTATTAAAAATTAAATCTTTAGAGTGAATTTCATAGATGAATTCTCAAGACTAAGATTATTACATCAATGGATGCTAACTTCATGGTTCTTGATAATTATTGCTTCAGTTATTTTCTGAAATGTTTTTAGTTTATAGCATGACCAAACTATACTATATAAATTTATATACTATATAAATTTATCAATTTTATCTAATTTCACCAACAATTTTGATAGATTTCGTGTCTTACTGTTTTAACTTTGTTTCATTTATTTTTTAAAATCAAGTTTGGAACATTTTTCATGATTTGTTTAGTGTTTCTATATTGTTTAAAACCCCACTGAGGTTTTAATATTTTTCCTATGGATTTTAATGTTTAAGTTGTATATATAAATATTAATCTTTTGTTATGTGCTTCGATTATCATCTTCCAGAAGCATTAAAATTTCTGAAATAGTTACACTAACATCCAAATGGTATCATACCTTTTTGAAGACAGTTACTCATTCCATGCCTCCATGTCTTCTTTGTGCCTGGTATAACTCTGGGCATATTAGTAACGTTGAGTTTTTTGAATGGAATTGTTTTGCAGATACAGTGGAAGGTATTGATGCCCAGATTGTAGATGGCTATGTAATTCATGATTGTGAAAGCAAGTCAGACATTCACATTCCTTATCCTCTGTTGGAAAACCATCAAGTACAGAGTGGAAGAACTTTCCATCATGGAAGATTCATCATGAGTCTCCGGAAAGCAGCAATGGCAGAGCCCAAGTAAGAATATGGCTTCAAATATATCACATTAAAGAATTAACACATTTAAGCTTCACCTTTGTACAAATACTACTTTTGTAAATTTTTATAAGTATTTAGGTAGGGGCTAGACCATAGGTCTTATGCTAAAGTAAACCATAACTTATACAAGTGTTAAATCCTTTCAGTGCCTTTATTAAGAATATGACACAGAATTTTTTTTGGAATGACATGGAACTATTGAGAATTTTCCTTTGACTAAACAAATTGTGTGATTTTTATGTGGTTGGAATTTAGAGGATATAGTTGTTGTAACTAAGATGTAAGTCCATGTGTGCCCATTTGGGAGTCTGGGTTTGGGGCTTTGGTACTTTCTTTTAAAAGTCAGGACAGAGGACTTCCAGGGATAATCCCTGTTCTATTCTTAGGAAGGACCTAGTCTGATAAGACTGGCTTCTTCTTTTACTTATTAGCTTGTATTTGCCTCTAGCCTTTCAACATTATAATTGAGGAACCTTTACATATGAGAACCCTTGTGTCATTGGCATAGGCTGAGGTGTTGAGAAGTAAGTGAACTCATCCTTAAGACGGAAAGGATTTGATATCTATGGAAATGGAATATGTTTATTATAGAAAACACCCCAAAATTTAAAGAACATTTAAAAAATTATCCATGATCCTTCTGACTAGAATTGACCACTCTGAATAATTTGCTGGATAAACTTCAGTTCTTTTGTTTTCCCATCTGTGTATGAATTGGTTGGGGGTATGTTACTATTTCTGCATGTATTCCATTTTTTAGTGAATTGAGATAAAAATCTATTGTTACTTTTTAAAATACTTTTTAAATCATTGCCTTAGTCATGTATAATTAATTTAAAGATTAGGTAATAAAAATCACACATAATTCTAAAAACCATTAGTGATGTTTTTACCTCTTTTGTCATTCCAGACTTCTTTCTGTATACCTGTGTATGCACCCATGTGCATGCCAGGCCACGTGTGTAAACTGGAGATGAGGCAGGAAGAATTTATGATTCCTTATTTAAATTGCTCAAATGTGCTACTATAGAATGTATTTCTGTTTCTCTTTTAGTACAAAGTTTATTGAAGGCATTGTGCTACAATTATTAGAAGAAGATGATACTGTGGTTGGAGTTCAGTACAGGGAGAAAGAAACTGGAGACATCAAGGTGAGATGATATCTCAAATGTTAGTTTCTCCTAAGAGATTTTTCTCTTTTTCTCCTACTCCTTTAAAAAAAGTAGGCTCAACTAATTATTTTTCAACAAATGGACTTAATTCTTTCTAAGCCCTGTGCAGCAGGATGGATTTCAGATTGTAACATGTTGTCTTTTGCTCACCTCAGCATGCCATAGAAATAACTTTGTAAACAAACACTACTGTAATAACAGTATTAGAAACTGAGTGAGATATGCACTAGAGGACAAGCGGAGGGGAACTGAAAGGAAAAAAAGGAAGGATTTTTTTTCAACATAAAAGAAACGGTTAAGATAAAGTAATTGTTTAAATAAAGAAAAGCAAAAGTAAGAGAATCTCAGGAAAAAGAAGAAAATAGCTTCCAGTATCTGCTCATGTTGGCCTAGTAAAAGAAGAGAAAAGGTCAAAGGCTAACCTATAGAGTCTTCTGAGGCTGCTCTGTAGGCTTACTACCTCCTAGAAACTATTGAGGGTGATTGCAAGGTAATATAAATACGTACGTACATCCACGTGTACAGAAATTCTTCAAAGCTCTAGCTGCTGATTGCAGTACTATATAAAGTGAGGAAATTCTAGAATAAAAGAATTTGGCTGATCCTTGGAATTAGTAATGAAATTTTACCTTCTATGGGCTATGCTAGCTTTGTAGTTTTCTCCATTATTATCAAAGTGTAACTTAATCCCAGATGGTTCAGATGATAGAGGTTCAAAGGAAGGTGATCCTTAGGGACTCAGAGGAAGGGTCTCTCAAGACTGGGCATGCCTTAACTTGAGCCCACGTAACAGCTTCAATAGCATTATCTTCAGATACCCTCTATAATGTTATCCGATAATATATTTAAATTTGTTCATGCACATTTTAAAAGAACAGTTCTTTTTCTGTATATTTTCTAAGCATTTAGCTGAGTACTCTTTATCTTTTGTTGTAGGAACTCCATGCTCCATTGACTGTTGTTGCAGATGGTCTGTTTTCCAAGTTCAGGAAAAACCTGATCTCCAATAAAGTTTCTGTTACATCTCATTTTGTTGGCTGTCTTATGGAGGTACTGCAGGGATGTAATAGTAGAAAAAATAAAAGCAACGTGAAATTTGAAAATTATTGAAATATTTTATTTTTTTCTAGAATGTACCACAATTTAAAGCAAATCATGCTGAACTTCTTTTAGCTAATCCAAGTCCAGTTCTCATCTACCAGATTTCACCTGATAAAACTCGAGTACTTATTGACATTCGAGGAGAACTGCCAAGGAATTTAAGAGAATACATGGTTGAAAACATTTACCCACAATTACCTGGTAAGAAATAAGTTTTCACTCCCACTGTAATCTAAGTTTGAAAGCAGATCTCACAAAAGGCTCTTCATCTCCAGTTGTCACTAAAGCTGCGTCTGAAATAGGCCAGAGATAAGACTGGCAGGTGAAAACTGCATCCAACCAGCCAGATTCCCTGGAGCTAGATTATTTATTTAACACATAAGAAGAGTTCCAAATTTAAAAAAAAAATAGTTTCAATATATTACTTTAAGCATAGTTTTCAGAATAATTGTCAATATTGACACAATTTTGACACTTTTAAAAGTAGTCTGGATAGCAATCTAAGGTCTGAATACTTGAAATATCCCTCATACTTACTTGGTTTTGTGGTAGTGATAGCTACCATTTATTGAATGTATGCTATATAAGAGGTGTTTTACAAACATAGTTTTATTTAATCTACACAGTTATCTTGTGACATTGGTATTATCATTTATCATCTCTGTTTTATAGATGAGGGAACCACGATTCAGAGAGCTTACTTAGGTCTTCCAAGCACAGGCTGTTAGTAAGAGGCAGAGCAAGGGCGGAAACTAGGCCCGCGTGGACCATGCATTCCTGCCCTCGCAGCGTGAGAGCTATAAGCAATCTTAGAAATAATTTTGAGTTGAATACAGAAAGGCTTCATGAGATATTAGCTATGTTTGTTAAAAACATAAAAATTACTTTCTGGGTTTTTTAATTTTTTTAATGGAAAAGTGTAAGAAAGAAATGTAAAAATAAACTGTTAAGAATATAAGTGAAATGGAAGGTAGTAGGCCCCGTTTGCCAACTATGATTATAGTAATAGGAAACTGTCTTTGAGTACATTTTGTTTAATTACGTTTTTCCAAGTTTTTTTAGAAATTAAGTGAAAGTACTGTGTAAGAACTAACAGAATATTAACAGAAATGAAAGTGTACATGGACCAACTTAGATTTTGAACGGTGTTTTCAGGATTTTACTATGTTTTCATTTAGTTAAGGCATTTTTAAAGCTTTCCAATGGAAAAATGAGTTGCACATATTTAGGAAAAGGAGTGTCAGTCACTTCGTATTTTTAGCATTTTTTTCTTTTACTATAGATTGTTTTTTCCAATTTAGAGGTTAATTGGAGCTTTCTACCCTGAAATCATGCAGGGAAACAATTTGTATGTTTATATTGGTATTAGGTTACTGAGCTCCTACCCCTGGTAGAAATACAGTGGTTTCAACATAGGCAGTCTGCTTCTGCATTTCCAAAGTACACTGGGAACGGTATGAAAAGAGATTTCATTTTCTCTATGAGTGAAAGCACAAAGTACCTAGAGATAAACTAATCCAACCATTTCATTTTATAGATGATGGAACTAAAACTCAGAAAGGTAGCGCGCGCTCTCTACACCTTGTCTTTTTTCTAGTGTATATACCCTTCTGCTGTTTGTGAAATGGTGGTATATTTCATCTGATATTACCAGAACACGGTGGTGACAATGAATTGTTAAATATGACGGCTGTCAGTTAACATTTGGAAGAGGGGTGGCCCGTTTTCTCCCTATATCATGTCATCCGAATTTGCTTCACTCTTTTATGTAGTTTTTAAATTTATTTAGCTGTTTGCCTTTTTACATTAATTTTCTCTTAGGTTCCTTAGTCATCCCTTAGCATGAAAAACTAGGGGCATAATAAACAACTTTATTAATAAAATAATTGGCTCTTGATTTAATCACAAGGGGATGTAACAGTCATAACAGATGTATAGTAGATATTTGTTTATACTTGATAAAAATGTGATAATTAGAAATTGAAATGTTGCAAATCATTTATTTGATGGGGCGTGGTTTATTGCAGATCACTTGAAAGAACCATTCCTAGAAGCCATTCAGAATTCTCGTTTGAGGTCCATGCCAGCAAGCTTCCTTCCTTCTTCACCAGTAAACAAACGAGGTATTAATTTACTGGACTTATTTTGTAAAGGGTATCCCAAATATTCAAATTGAATACTGCACATAACATATACATGATTAAATTTATGCTTCTGGGAATAACAGGGTAGAGAATTGGTTACTACACGTTAACACATCACTAAAACAAAAGTTAGTTTTATGATATCTTTAGTTATTATTTAATATTGAGAGTATGTTAAGTCATTGTGCTAGTCACTGGGGATACAATAGTTAAATATAGTTCTTGATCTAGAGGAGGCAGTTTTCTAGCTAGGGAATATGGACAGGGAATTTCAGACCACTGTTGACAGCTGTAATAGAACCCCAGCTATGGTACTATGGACTCATGTGAAGGGGTGTGCGGGCAGGGAGGGGAGCTTGTGAACTGGGAAGGGAGGTTAGGGAAGACATTGCTCAGGATATAAAGCTGGAGGTGAGCCATGGAGAGTAAGTGGAGTTCATTAGGTGGACAGTGAGATGAGGGGCTTCTGAGTAGATGAAATAACATCTGCAGTGGCCTGGATGGCTGAGAAATGGTTGCACTTTGAATGATCTCAAGTGGTTTTCTATGGCTGGAGCATTGGATAGGTGTCAGAGTGGTGAAAAGGTAAGATACTTATTTCAAGTTTAGTTTTAATCCTATGGACAATGGAATTCATTGAAAAGTGTTTCAGAAATAGCTTTATTGATATAATTCACAAATCATACAGTTCCCCACTTAAAATATATAATTTATTAGTTTTTAGTAGACCCATAGGTATATGCAACCATTGCTACAATCAGTTTTAGAGCATGTGTATCACACCAAAAAGAAACCCTGTACCCATAGCAGTCAATCCTCATTTCTTCCTGACCTGCAGCCTCAGGCAATCAATCTACTTACTGTGTCTATGGATTTGCCTATTTTGGACATTTTCTATAAATGGAATCATATAATATTGATAAATGATCCTTCATTATTGACTTCTTTGAGGTTCCTCCCTGTTATAACGTATCAGTCCTTCAATTGCTTCATTTGGTATTATGCCCAAATAATATTTCATGTGTGAGTGTATTACATTTTGATTATCCATCAGTTGATAGACATTTGGGTTATTTCCACTCTTGGGCTCTTGGTTGTCATGAGCGATGCTGTTGTGAACACCTGTGTATGAGTTTTTGTGTGGACATGTTTCCATTTTTCTTGGGTAGACAGGTGGTATTCATGTGTTAACTGTGTGACTTGGCGAGGAACTGCCAGACCCCACTTTACATTCCTGTTAGGAATGTGTGAGCGTTCCAGTTTCTCCATGTCCTTGACAACATTTGTTTTTGTCTGATCATAGCCATCCTAGGAGGTGTGAAGTGAAACTTCATTTGTGGCTTTGATTTGTGTTTCTCTGTGTCTTCTATGGACAAATGTCTATTCAGATGTTGTACACTTCTTTAGTTGGGCAAATTAAAAAATATTTTGAGTTCCTTTTATAGTCTGTATATAAATCCCTTATCAGATACATGATTTGCAAAACTTTTCTATTACTCTTTGGGATGTCTTTTCTTTTCCTTGAGGGTGTCCATTGAATTTTTTAATATTCATGAAATCACTTTTATCTCCTTTTTCTTGTGTTGCTTGTGATTTTGCTGTCATACCTCCAAAGGCTGTGCCCAGCCCAGTGGCACAAAGGTTTACTCCTATATTTCCTCCTAAGAGTTTTATAGTTTACACTTCAGTTTTGATCTATTTTGAGTTAAATTATGGTGTGAGAAAGGAGTCCAGCTTCATCTGAATGTGGATATCTAGGTGTACCAGCACCCCTTGTTGAGAAGATTATTATTTCCCCATTGAAGTGTCTTGGTACTTTTGTCAAAATACAGTCGACTGTAAATGTAAGAGTTCATACATTCAAAAGTATTTTGTAGTTTTCAGAGTTTAAGTTTTGTGTTTTAGTTGTTAAATTTATTCGTATTTTACTCCTTTTGAGGCTATTGTAAATGAGACTGTTTTCTTCATTTTAAGATTCTTCATTGCTATTGCTAGAAATTGAGTTTTGCATATTTATCTTGTATCTTGAAACCCTACTGAATTCATTTATTGTAACAGTTCATTGAAAAGTTTAACAAAGGTATGGCCGTGATTAGATCTTTATTTCGGAGGATAGTACTCTGTTACGTTGTGGGGGAGGATGGTGGAGGGAAGTTCAGACTAAAGCTGATAGTAAGGCTATTTAATTATTCCGTGCGAGTGACGATGAAAGGCCTGAACTAGGGTCGTGGCAATAAAAATGGAAAGAGGGGAGTGAGTTTGGGTAATATTTAGGATGCACAGTGCATGAAACTGAGGGATTCATATGCTATTGCAGCAAGGGAGAGTGAGGCCTCTCGATGGATTCTGGGTCTCAGGCTTAGATAATTTTGCCAACAATTTGCTGACATTGGAAATACAGGGAATAGAGTCTAAGCTTGAGGGAAGTGTGGGGAGAGGTGATGAGTTCACTTTTGGACACACGGGTCTGAAGTGCGGATGGACAGTTGAGCGGAGGCGTGTGGAGCAGCGTTGGAAACAGGAGGGTGGCGCTCTGACGAGAGGGCTGAATGGGAGCTGCTGATATACTTTGGTTCCAGAACAGGAAGAGGGCGTAGTTCACTATGGAAAAGCAGGCGTAAAACACTACCAACCACATAAATAAACTATAATGTAGAGCAGAATGAAATCAGTGCCAAATTGATATGAACAGTGTGCTGTGGGAGCATAACCCAAGCGGTGGGATTTGGAAATGTTCCACAGAGCAGGAGTACAAGCTGGCTGTAGTTTGTGGATTTTTAGTGATGGTATCTGAGAACATACCAAATTTTAATATTTAGAGGCTACCTTTTAATAAATGACTATGTTATATGTACTCTACAGTTATAAATGTATATTAAGACATTACAGAAAACAATTATCCATAATTCTGCCACCTTGACACTTATTATGGTCGCCTATTACCCTCACAGACAAAATTAAACAAGCGTTTTGTTTCAAAGTACAGGCGCACCAGGCTGACAATGGACCAGGAATCTAAGAGTGAGGCAGCTCAGTCAGGAGGTGGCCTTAGAGTCAAATTGTGGCGCTTCCTGCTTCTGCAGCTGTAAAACAAAGGGCTCATTTTCAGATAGGATTCAGTCAAGGTTTATTCTCCTAAATTAACTTCAGATGGTTTTGAGAATGTCTGCCTGGCGCCTTGCAGCTGGAACTCCAAGGTGTCTGGTAGAACCCTGCCAGGCCTCAGTCTTTCCTTAGGACGGCACAGGCATTTCTCGGTAGCATGCTGGCGGTGAAGACTACTGTGAAGTGTCACGGGCCTCTTTAATTTTTCCCGTTGTTAGAAAACTTGCTTTTAATGCCCGGATACCTGTGGATTCTTTTGATTTTTTTTTTTTCCCCATGAGAGAGGTCTTGTAAATGTTTTGACACTGTTTGATTCAATCTTAGATTGCAGGAGGGTTTCCGGGGGCCGGGGGCCATTTTCTTTTCCTCGCTGTATTCCCAGCATCTGGTGCCCAAAAGCTGTTGATTGAATCAACTCTTGAATTTTTGCCTCAACAAATTTTAGTCATGATCTCTTCCCTTGTAGATTCACATTATTATTTACTAACATTAATATTTATAAATTAAGTCCTTTTTTTTCTTTGTCTCAAGTGATGCTCCAGAATGATGTCATAATCTAAATGATCCCTTTTAGGTGTTCTTGTTTTGGGAGATGCATACAATATCAGGCATCCTCTTACTGGAGGAGGAATGAGCGTTGCTTTTAAAGATATAAAACTATGGAGAAAATTGCTGAAGGGTATCCCTGACCTTTATGATGATGCAGCTATTTTCCGGGTAAGGTAGTAAATTATTCTTTGACAAAAAATGTCTCAATGTAGATTTCTTATGGGGTCTCAGAGGAATGGGCAGGTCTGTACTTGAGAGCCTGATGCTTAATGGTTCTTAGGCAATCCTATGCAGGCTTAAAGAGTCTGACTTGTAAGCTGTGACTCATAAGAGAATTTCTCAATTTCTGTATTTGAGTATTAGGTAACACTGGATTGCATGGGTGACTTTGCTCATAGTGATTGTAAATTTAGCTTCAGACTCATGTAACTCATTGTTCTGAAGATTTTTAAATTTTTTTTTGGTAAACCATAGGCATAATTACTTATACATGGACCTCAGGATAAATACCAGTTTGAGGAGATTATAAACATCAGTTGGTGTTTTCTTTTTTTTTTTTCCTTACCATATAGTAAGTGATCTTTTCCTCTCTTAGGCCAAAAAGTCATTCTATTGGTCAAGAAAAACATCCCATTCCTTTGTTGTGAATGTCCTTGCGCAGGCTCTCTATGAATTATTTTCTGCAACAGATGGTAAGTGCATGTATTTTTTATAAATAAATATTACTGAATTGCAGATTTTTAACACAGGAACAGAATTACCAAAAAAAAAAAAAAAAAAAAAAAAAAATAGTGATCAGGACAGAAACAGAAAAGTTTCCTGAGTTGGCTGACTCTCAAGTTGGTAGTCATTTTTTACTCTGTTCTTGAGCCTCATCACGTATCTGTTAGACACCGATGTGGTCCTCCGTTAAACCACCTTATTATTATTATTATTATTATTATTATTATATTTTTAATTCCTATGGTCCAGACCAGATCCTATATCCTCAGATGCTAAAGGTTGTGATGGAAGATCATTCTGGCCATGAATTAAAAACAATGTAGTTGTTCCTCTTTTCCCTCCTGACCACTAGTTTCAATTTCTTCTCAAAGTGGTGTTTTATGAAACGAATGTGAGCTTTAGGTCACATTTAGATTTTGTCCCCTGTTGAAGTGCACAAGCAGCAGAATGCATCCACCTTTTGCTCATTTGAAGTCTTCGCATGCTTTTGTTTTGTTTCTATATTCATTGTAGAGAGATGGCAGTCAATCTATGTATTAAGAAAAATGTGACTTAGCAGAAACAGTGTTAGAAATGGAAGAAGAGGCACCATGTCACTTCCCAACCACAGCAGTGGACAATCAGTTAATGGAACTAGACCTTTAGGTTTTCAAGAGTTAAATATAACTCAAATCCCACTACTTCAGATATTCACAAAAAAACTCTATGACCTGGCTGAGGCTTTAGTGATCTGTGGTTTGGTGATCTGATTACAAAGTATGATATAATACAAATGCCTTCTGTAGCCTCTATAACCATCATTCTTGCTAACAAAAAACTCATCGATGTGATTTGCCAAACAAATCTCTTGCTAACTGGTGAGGAAGTTAAATGACTGATTGGGCAAGTAAAAAGAAAAGTACTCAAGTTTTGAGTTTTTCTATGCTCTTTAAACCTTTTCTAAGCTCTTGAGGGTTTTTTTTTTAAGATTTTATTTTTTTATTTTTAGAGACAGGAAGGGAGGGGGAGAGAGAGAGAAACATCCATGTGTGGGTGCATCTCACACACCCCCTGCTGGGGACCTGGCCTGCAACCCAGGCATGTGCCCTGGCTGGGAATCGAACCTGTGACCCTTTGGTTTGCAGGCCGGTGCTCAATCCACTGAGCCATACCAGCTGGGGCAGCTCTCGAGTTTCTTACATTATGAATTTGAATGTGTTACTAAAACAATATCAAAGTTATGAAAGAGTGGAGGAGAAAGGAGCTTTATTGGAGGAAGCATTTATCTATTGCATCCCATTTTAATGGTTGTAAAAAAAAAAAAAAAAAAAAAAAGTAGGCACACCTGAGCAGAACTTTGATTCTAAACTAATAAAACAGCCCTGGCTGGTGTGGCTCAGTGGACTGAGTGCTGACCTGTGAACCAAAGGGTCACCGGTTTGATTCCTAGTCAGGGCACGTGCCTGGGTTGCAGGCCAGGTTCCTAGAGGGGGCTGTTTGCAAGGCAACCACGAACTGATGTTTTCCTTTCTTTCTCTCTCCCTTCCCCTTTCTCTAAAAATAAATTAAAAAAATAGAAAAAAAAGGCCACTTTAAAAACAATAATAAAATAGTTTATGGGTTTATTATACTATATTGTAAAGATTTAATGACTTAACTTTGAAAAGTGTAAAAAACTGTACAGATATAAGGCATTATTTTTGTTACTCACAGCTTACTGGGCATCTTACACAAGGCATCTGGTTTCCAGAATTGTGATTTTATAACAGAGTTTACAGAATATTTTGCATCATTTAATGAATTTACAACATAATTAAGGAAATAGTTTAAACAACTCTGATTCCTGGGACCTACATTTTTGGTATAGTCATTATTTATTAACAGGAAAGTTAAATTCATATCCATATCACTACCCATAATGTTGTTTGTGGAATGTAAAAGATATCTTGGGTTGTTGAAATTCCAGGGCTAGATTTTTTTTTAATTATAGGTTTGATATTTGTTACATCTTCATTTTTTTCTGAAATATCATTTAGAACCCTTACATAAATGTGTAAATTATTTGAGAGTAATTTTTAAATTTTATTTTAGATTCCCTACATCAACTAAGAAAAGCCTGTTTTTTATATTTCAAACTTGGTGGAGAATGTATCGCTGGTCCTGTTGGGCTGCTTTCTGTGTAAGTTGTTTTGATGACACAAAGGAGACATATTCCAGGTTTTCTTAGGATTATTGAGTTTCTGAATTACTGCAAATTTTTCTTCCTTACATATTTTTTCACTTTATTATCCATTAGTATGCAAATCAGAAGGTAGCCCAGATGAATGAAAAAAGGCAACAGTTAGTCCTGTATTTTACTGCTGGGCAACAGCATAGATTAGCAGTCGTTGGTGGGCGAGGGTAAAATCCTTGATTAAAGCAGAAGCTTGTTTTTTGCGTATTGGTTAATCTACATCATCCGATCTATGGGAGCCAGGGATAATTTGAGAAATTTGAATTTAAAAATTAATTTGATTGAGCCCTTGGCTGGGTGACTCGGTTGGTTGGAGCATGGTCCTGTGCACCAAAAGCTTGTGGGTTCAGTCCCTGGTTAGGGCACATCCTCGGTTGCAGGTTTGATCCCTGGTTGGGATGAGTACGGGAGGCAACTGACTGATGTTTGTCACATCAATGCTTCTCTCTCTCAAGTCAATAAAAAAACATATCCTTGGGTGAGGATTAAAAAAAAAATTGAAGTGCAGGGACTCAAGAAACTCAGTAATAATTTTGACAGTGCAGATGACTTTTTCTCATTCATCTATAACCTGAATGTCAGTACTGTTACCTTTTGAAAACCTAGACTCAGATAGGCCGGGCCATCCAGGGCCTTCACGCTGGGATGTCAAGACCCCTGAAACAGCTCAAAGCGTATCACATATAAACTAGACTAAGAGGAGTGATTAAATTCTCTGACAGGGGTGTATTCCAAGTAGTTTCTTGTAAAAAATATTTTTTAAAATGCCCCTGCTGTCCAGCTTGGCAGGCAGCAACATAAGCTTATAAAGTTCTCTAAAATGTAGAAAGTGTTTAGCTTTATAGATAATACACGTAATTGAAACTTTTTTACAGTCAATTTGATTTCTGGGTCTTACCAACATTTATGTTTTATTTTTTTCTATTACAGGCTGTCTCCTAACCCTCTGACTTTAATAGGACACTTCTTTGCTGTTGCAATCTATGCTGCATATTTCTGTTTTAAATCGGAACCTTGGATTACAAAACCCCGAGCCATTTTCAGTAGTGGTGCTGTAGTGTACAAAGCATGTTCTGTGCTATTTCCTCTAGTTTACTCAGAAGTGAAGTACTTGGTTCGTTAAGCCTAAAGGGGGACCATTTGTGAACTAATACTTGGCACTCTGCAAGTCCCAAGAGACTTCTTAAGAGGATTTACGCAGCACAGTACTACGCCACTTGTAAAGTGGAAACTCTTGGACCAAGATTGGGATTAATTTGTTTTTGAAATTATTTGTACATAAACATGTAAATATATACTTTAATTTGCAATTTAAAATGAAGGGTCAAATAAGATAGTTTAAAACATATGGTTGTTACCGTAAGTTAGTGCTAAAACTGAGAACAGGTCTGTATTCAGTATCTGGAATGAGTTGACGTGGGACACACAAATAAAACAAAGAATGAACTCTCACATCTTTTTGGTTTTTGTTGTGGACTTTATGTAGTTTCAGGATAATGGGAAACAAAGCCTCAGTTGAATGCAGAGGGAAACCTGCTCTCACTCTGATGTTGGGGAAGTTTGCCTTAAGTCTCTGGACCTAATTTTCCTTATCTATCCAGTGAGGCAAGTTGATATGGTTCTTTGAAAATATCACACATTCATACAAGAAAGCAGTCAAAGGCTTTTCAGTATCTTTGGACTTGAGGCCTTCTGAAAAATAACTTGCCATAACATTAAAAAACTGAGAGGATCCTAAGAAATCATTTAGCCCTGATCGCACAGATGATGCTGACAGGCCAGCTGGGGACCCAGTTTTGCCAGTGGCGGAACCAGGACTCACACTTTGCCTCCTGATAACTGAACAATGCGTATTCCCCTGCAACTTGCTAAATGACTTTTGAACACGCTTCAGTTTTCCTTGTTTTTCTTTCATCTTGTTCCTCCTCTCCGGAGGAGGACAGGGCTAAAACATCTCTAATGCTGTCTTTCAGTTGCCACAATAGGATGGCAGTGCCCTTTTCAGGGTCATTTTACGTAGAAATGATTTAGGATTCATGGGGGTGGAGGGCAGAGAGTTAAAAGCTGATGGTTAAGTTGTTACCAAGACAAAAGGGGCTTAAGGCTAGCATGGTGTGGGGACTTGGGGGAGGGGAGGCTCAGGGGTTACCAAGGAAGGAAGGGGCGGAAGGAGGAGCTTTGGGCAGTCCCTGAGAAGGGATGCTGGGAGCCCCTGAGGGTATCTGGGACTGGAAGAGGATGGTGAGCCTCAGACACCAAGAAACTTCCATGGTCTGTGGTCCACAGATTGTGCGGTCACTGTATTTCAATATATCTGCTACTAGTCTATCACCATGCGCCTGCTAGCCTGTCGTGGGTGTGTCCATAGGACCTGCCAGATTCATCTCTTACCTTCCAGACAAGGTTTTTTGCACAGTGAATATATGTTTTGAATAAGCAGAAAGACGACTTTGGGTACTGGCAATACTATTTTACTGAAAATCTGGAGTTGCACAAATAGTCCTTTAGAACATAAAACTAAATGGATTTATACTTAATTACATTCAGCATTTGTAAGAGGCAGTACAAAAATGTGTTCTGCTTCTACATGATAGAAATTGCATATAATACCATGATTTAAACAATATTCTATTACATAGTTCCATGAGATACACCTTACTCAAAGAAGTCTGATGTTTCCCACAATAAAGGGAAAACATGCAGTTATATGAGCAGTTCAGTTTTATCCTCTTAATTCATTTTAGTGATAGTGGGAAGATTGACGGACAATCCTTACATCAAAGAAGTAGAAGAAGAAAAAGTTACAGCACTGTTCTGAACTCATCAAAAATGAAATTAGGCACGTGTGCTTCAGCAACCTAAAAGAAGAAAACAAAGGAGTTAAATTATTCATAGTGTTATCATTCAGAACAAATTCAAAATTCTCCATATGAAACCTAAACTAAGACAGTCCTTCAGAGCAGGGTGAACCATAACCTGCTCTGATTCAGCACTGGACTCACACGGGTGGGCCACTCCTCAGGACCACTGGCTCTGTACCTGGTGTCCTCTGTCGTGTCTCTGACTTCTTGGCACTGCCAACATCTCAGAATGCTGCCCAGCGCTGCCCCCCGCACCCGGGCCCCGCCCCAATCCAAACCAAGTTCCTAAAGACATTTTGATTAGCTAGGAAGTACTAAAAGGTAACACCTCTAGCAAGAACAGGAAGTCTGGCAAGTGACCAAGCCAGGCGGGGAAGAGGAGGAAAGCACCAGTCCCCTTGGCTGTTCATAGGGGAAGCCTGAGGCGTAGAATGGGTAGAATATAGAGCTAGGTACTCTTCAAGTGCTGAAAATCGGTATTTTTTTAAAAGCAGTGTTTTATTTTTTTCTGATTGTGAAGGTATTATCTGCTAATTAGAGGAAATTCAGCAAATGCCTGAGTATAAAAAAGAATCTAGCCTTGGCTGGTGTGGTTCATTGGATTGACCACCAGCCTGCGAATCAAAAGGTCATCGGTTCGATATCAGGGCACATGCCTGGGTTGTGGGCCAGGTCCCCAGTTGGGGTGTGCAAGAGGCAACTGACCGATGTTTCTCTCTCCCTCTGTTTCTCCCTCCTTTCCCCTCTCTGAAAAAAAACAAAATCTTTAAAAATAAAAAAATATAAAGAATCTAATCTTGATCCCTTAGAAAAAAATTAAAACTGATTATGTTGTATTGAATTCTTCCAGTCACACACACACACAATTAGGAACACGTAACCTTGTGTGTGTTCTCTTCTAAATCTACATTATGAACATCCTTGCACACATATCTTGGTGAACTTAGGTGCATATTCCAAGTGGTGATATTACTGGGATCAGGGAAGTAAATTATAAAATGTTTGTTTAGGTAGATAAAGCCAAATTTCCCTTCCCTAAGGATAAGCCAGTTCACAATCCCATTGACTGGACTGAGGAGTACTATTTCTCCAAACTTTCCAAGCATTTCCAAGGGACCCAACATTTGACTTTTTACCAATTTGTTGGGTGGAAACAGTAATCTTACTGTTATTTTGATTTTGACCTTGACCTTGAATAGGGGTTGAATTGAGCATCTTTACAAATGTCTACTGGCCATTTATATTTCTCTTCCTAAAAACTGCCTGTTGATATCCTTTACCCTTTTCTCCCTATTGCTATTGGGCTGGCTATTTCTTTCATATTGGTGTAAAGGGCACACTAACTCAAGGAAACTGGTCTTTTTTTAATACATTTTCCCAATTTTTAAATTAAGAGATGCTTGACAGAATTGTTGAATTACATTTAGCATTTATAAGAGATCAAATCTCTAATAAATCTTTTTCTTTATGGTTTCCTCCCTTGGTGTTTTATGCAGGAAGTTCAGAGAGCTGATACATTAATTTTAGTCAAATATCTCCTAATTTATTTGTTTCCTTTTTCAAATTTAATCTATCTGTTATTTATTTTGAAACATGGGAGACGTGAAGAGACTAACTTGCTATGTTTTAACCACATAATAAACTTTCTTTCTCAGCACTATTGACTAAAATGCCTTTTCTCCCCTAATTTGAGATGCTGCTTTTCCTTATATGTAACTGTATGTGCTAGGGTTTGTTTCTAGGCTACACATTCTAGTCTACTGATTCATCTATTTTACACCATTACCATACTATTTTGATTTTTGTAGTCTTATATTTTCACATTTGGTATAATATGTTTTAATCTTTTTTTCCAAATCTTGTTTTAGCCCAAGTCCTATACATTTCTAAAAAAAATTTTTCCCAAGTAAAACACAGTATCTGGAATTTTAATCATAACTGCAAGTAAATCTATAAACTAGAAAGAACTCATATTTCTATAATATTTGAGTCTCCTCATCAGAATTCTATATGGATTTCCAAACTTTGTATTTTAAAATTGTAGAGCTTTTTTTCCTAAGTTGTTCTTTCATAGTTCTTCAAGAAGGTGTTCTTGGCTATATTATTTCTTTGTTAATTCTGTGAATAGTAGCTTTTTTTGCATTATATTTTTGAATTGGTTATAGAATATTTATTTCATACATTATTTATATAATCGGCTTTTTGGAACTCTTCATTGCTTTTCACATGACTCTAGTGGATATTCAAGGACGACAACCAGATCCTCAATAAACAGAAATTTGTCTTTCCACTGTGCGTAGTTTTGTTGCATTTATTTTATCGTCTCGCACCTGGACCGCAGTTCCAGTCCTGCCTTCAAAGGAAACGCCACTTGGCGTCTCACTACTCAGTATGGCATGGCCAGTTAATTTTTAAAACATTTTTGGCATTTGTTATAAAAAAGGATCTTTGATTCCTAACCTACTAATTTTGAAAAATCAGAATGGCTTTACAGCATCTACTGAAAGTCTTTCATATTTTAATACCAAACTCCCCACTTTTAGCTAAAACCCACCCAAGTGGAATTATTAGTAAGGAAGAGGAAAAAAATTCTCAAAAGGTAAAAAGTAGTGTGTCATTTCTGGAAAGAGTGGTCGTATGTAATTTTAGCCGTGGCATGAACTTAATCAGGTTACTGTGGAGAGGAAAGGATACACACATTTGGTTATTTCTCTGCACCGGCCACTTAGGAATTCTCTCCTGAACTGGGTGAGCTGCCGACAGAAGGAGGGTATGGTAGACAAAGTGGAGGGGAGGGAAGCTGTTCTAAACTCTTGTCTTCTGGGAAAGCACTGAACATGGCGGAGAAGGGAAGAAGATTTTAGAGCTGTGGGCAGAGCAGTGGAGAGGGAACGGGCGTCCCCTGTAAATGAGCTACTAGTGAATGGACTGACTTCTAGTGAGTCCAGGGCCACTCTTAATACCATCTTTTTACAAAAAGGGCATTAGTATTGTTCTTTCCTAATCACTTACCCTCCTGGGTAGCTTTGTGTACCGAACATAATCCTCCAGGAACAGAAGGGCACCCACAACATCTGCAGGCATTTCAGGTACCTTCTGGCTGTAACGGAGAATAGTCTGGATCATTTCACTGCTTTTCACGTAGAAGACCCTCAGCCAACATACTGAAATACTGAATCAACAACAGATTGCTAAACGCAGTCAAAGAAGAAACCGATCTATGGAACATCCTCTCCATTCCTATCAAGTCATTATCCTGCTCGCCTACCTTCAGAGCGGAATGTAGAGGATAAAATCTAAACTTCTCTGTGGTTTACATGGACCTTCACAACGTGGCCCCAGCCCTCTGCCTGGACTCCTCTCTTTCTGTCCCTGCTCAGCGCTTAGGCTTCAAAGACTGGCAGGTCCTGGCCATAGTTTCCCATGCCCTCCAGTCTCTGCAGCTACATTTGCTCTGCAGGCTTATTTGAAAGTAAACTTTTAGATATCTTTCCAGCCCTGGCGTGGGCACTTCCTCCTCCGTGAAGTCCTCCCTGGCTCCTGCGAGCAGGTGGCTTTTTTCTTTGCTTTCAGTATACCTTGTA